GGGGAAAAAAAATAGTGTCATCTGATACAACTTGATAAACTTGACCTGCACCTATGAATGCAGTAGCTCAAAAGAGGAAACAAATCCCTACTCCAAGAATTACTCCCACCCCCTCCGCACAAAGAGTAGATAGGGATGGGCAACTTGAACATTGGCTACCCAAAATGGGGGAAGGGATACAAAGGTAAGAAGTGACTGGCTTACAAGCTTTCAAGAGGGAACCTAGATCGACAGGGCGGGGAGGATAGTAGAGTCTCCAGTGAGTAGTATTCAACCTGTCTAGGAAAGGCTGATGAAAAGAAATGCAGATGGGTCTCTTGTGATGCAAGGGTGAATAATTGTTATCAGGACTGATTGTGAGGACTGAAAATGTAAAGGTGGATATTTTATAGCAAGGAGGGGAGAGATTAACCTTTCAGTCTAGGAATGGAGGGCCCTGGGACCATCAATGGAGAAGAGCGGAGACCGGGACCCCACCCAGAGAAGCAGTGAGGCCTGGGATGGAGGCAGAGAGGATGACATGAAGAGATGGAGTGGCTGAGGAGGAAGGAAAGGGGGCTGTGTGCTGAGAACCGAGGGGGGGGGGAGCTGCGGGGTATATCCTTTGGTTGGGTGATGATGCATGGACGGGATGCTAACTATGGCAATGAAACGATGTATGATAGAATGAATGTAAAACTAATGTTCCCCCATGTAAACTATCACACAATAATAATAATAATAATAAAAAATCCTCACCACTGGACCAATAAACAGCATGCTTATCAATGTTGTTCACTGAAGTTGTCAAGGACTTCATTCTTCTTGGATCAACTATCAACACTCACGGAAGCAGCAGTTAAGAGATCTAAAGGATGTATTGCATTAGGCAAATCTGGTGCACAAGAACTTTTTAAAGTGTTAAAGAGCAAAGATATCAGTTTGAGGACTAAAGTGAGGCTGACCCAAGCCCTGGTATTTTCAATAACCTCATATGCATGTGAAAGCTGGACAGTGAATAAGGAATACCATAGAATAATTGACTCATTTGAGTTATGGTGTTGGAGGAGAATATTGAAAGTGCCATGGCTGCCAAAAAGAACAAACAGATCCATGTTAGAAGTGCAGCCAGAGTGCTCCTTGGAGGCCAGGATGGCCAAACTTCATCTCTCATATTTCGAACATATTATCAGGAGGGACCAGTCACTGGAGAAGTATATCATGTTTGGTAGGGTGGAGGGTCAGAGAAAAAGAGGAAGACCCCCAATGAGATGGAATGGCCATGTGGCAGCATCGAAGGACTCAAGCATGGCAACAATAGTGAGTTTGGCCCAGGATTGGGCAGTGTTTCATTTAGATGTTCATAGGGTCACTATGAGTTTGTACCGACTCAATGGCACCTAACAACAAGAACAACAACAATGTTCATGAGAGATATTGGTCTGTAATTTTCTTTCTTAATGATGTCATTCCCTGGTTTTGGTATGAGGGTTATGCTTGCTTCATAAAATGTATTAAGTTTTCTATCCTCCTCTATATTCTGGAATAATTTGAGTAGAATTGGTGACAACTCTTCCCTGAATATCTGGTAGAACTCAGCAGTGAAGCCATCTGGACCTGGACTTCTTTTGGTTGGGAGTTTTTTGATGAGCTGATCAATTTCTTCTATTGTTATGAGTCTGTTTAAGTCTTCAACTTCGCTCTGTGTGAGTTTAGGCAGGTAATGTTTTTCAAAAAAATGTATCCATCTCTTCTAAGTTATCAAATTTGTTGGAGTACAACTCTCATAGTATTCTGTTATTGTCCTGTTGATTTCCTTTTGTTCCATTGTGACATCGCCCATATGGTTTCTAATGCATGTTATTTGTGTCTTCTCCCTCTTTTCTTTTGTTAGGTTTGCCAATGGTTTGTCAATTTTATTAATCCTTTCAAAGAACCAGCTTCTTATTCTGTTAATTCTGTCTATAGTTTTACTCTTTTCTATCTCACTTAATTCTGCTCTGATCTTTGTTATTTCTTTTCTCTTGGTAGTTTCCCTCTGTTGGTCTGTTTCTAGTTGCTGGAGATGTTGTGTTAATATGTTAATTTTGAGTCTTTCTTCTTATTGGATGTGAGCATTTATTGCAATAAATTGTCCTCTCAGCATGGCTTTCACTCTATCCCAAATTTTTTGGTTTGTTGTGTTTTTGTTCTCGTTTGTTTCTTTCTAGGAACTTTCTGAATTCACGTTTAATTTCTTCTGTTATCCAGTCGCTCTTCAGCAAGGTGTCATTCAGTCTCCATGTATTAAACTTTATTTCCTTGGTCTTCTTATTGCTGATTTATAATTTTATGGCACTGTGGTCTGCAAAGATGCTTTGTAGTATTTTGATGTTTGTAAATTTATGGAGGCTTGCTTTGTGACCTAACACATGGTCAATTCTGGAGAATGTTCCATGTGCACTGGAAAAGAATGTGTATTGTGCAGTTGTTGGGTTGAATGCTCTGTACACATCTATGAGGTCCAGTTGGTTGATTGTGCTGTTTAGTTCCTTTGTAGCTTTGCCGAGTTTCTTTCTGGTTGTTCTATTCCTTTTCAAAAGTAGCATATTAAAATTTCCCACTGTAATTGTAGATTTGTCTATTTTTTTCTTCACTTCTAGCAGGGTTTGCTTTATATATCTTGGTGCTCTTTCATTTGGAGCATAGATGTTAATTATGGTTATGCCATCTTGCTCAATTAACCCTTTAATCATGAGATAGTATCTTTCCTTATCTTTTGTGGTGGTTTTTGCCTTAAAGTTTATTTTATCAGAGATTAGTATTGCCACTCCTACTTGTTTTTATTGCTGTTAGCTTGGTGTATTTTTTTCCATCTTTTAACTTTTAGTCTGTTTTTTTGCTTGTGTGTAAGGTGTGTCTCTTGCAGGAAGCTGGACCCTTTTGGGGTGTGCTCCCACCCACCTGAAGGAATCTGGGTTGTGCAGTGAGAGTGCAATTGGGATGAAGAGTAGAGATACATGGAAAATTAAAAGTGAAAGATGTAAAATAAATCACACCTCTTCCTTCAGATGCACTGCTCTGCAGCCCATTTGCTAGTTTTTAAAGTCTAATCTTCTGGGCCCAGAGCACAGATAATGCAGGGCTTACATAGGCACAATGTGTCATCTTGTCAGAGGAAGAGTCTGAGGAGCAGTATTCTAAAGAGGCTGCTTCTAGAAGCTGCCCTAAATCACAGTGGAGTGAGATTTATTATATAGACTACTGGACACTTGCAATCAACAATATGGCTTCCAAAATTTTCTCCCCTCTCTCACCATATCTTATAAAAGCATCCCTGGTGGCACAGTGGCTAAGCATTCAACTTCAACCCCAAAGTCAGTGGCTCCAACCCTCCAGACACTCCAAAGGAGAAAGATGTGGCAGTGTGCTTCTGTAAAGATTGTTGTTGCTGTTTTTAAGTGCCATCAATCTGAAATCTGTACAGTGTTTTTGAGGAGTGACTGGTGGGTTTGAATCACTGACCTAGCAGTTAGCAGTCCAGTGATTATCCTACAGTGCCACACTAGAATTGTCTGTAAAGATTACAGCCTTGGAAATTCCCTGGGCAGTTTTTCTGACTTGATAACAATGGGTTATATTTTATGAATAGGAAAAATCACCTAAGAGAGGTTATTTGGACAAATAACTCTTGTACACATGTCTAATTAGATGCAGGCTGACAGAATAAGGTGGGAAGAATAGGGTTGCTTAGGGCTGGGATTTACAGTGTGCCCAATACCCCTGTAGACTTGTTGGTGAGCAGAGAGCTAGAAGGAGTGTGAGGATTTAGCAGGTTAAGAATCTTGAATTCCCACCCTGTGGGAAAGAGTGGAAGAGGAAGGAGGAAGATGTAAACCTGAGAGAGGAGGGAGTGGCTGGGATGCAGGAAGACCTGAGTGGTGTGGTATGACCCTACACATACCTGCTTCTCTGATGGGGTCACCTCTGAGGGGCCAAGGGGTCAGGGGATGCTGAGGGCTGTGGGCTCTGCCTTCCCAGGGAACTGACCATCTCGGAGTCTCTCCATATTCCTTTTTCAAGGTCTGACATTGCCGTCTGCTCTCTGAGTTCCCTCCTCCCACTCCAGACAACTAGTATTCTCTTTCTCCTCAGGCTGAGAGAATGGCAGGGTGCCCAGCTGGGCGGGATAGCAGCCCCAGTTCCGGTGGGTGTATGTGTGTGTGTAAGAGCTGAGGGTGGGAACCAACAGTTCAGACCACAAAGCGATGAGATTCCATGAGGGCAGTTGACCTGGGAGTCACTTCCAACATTCTGAGCCCTGTGGACCTTCAGCTCAGACCCACTCCCGGCCTGCAGCACCTGAATGAACAATTGAAGAGCACCTCACTGACCACAGGAGTCCAGGACCAAGCACAGGGGTAAGTTGAATTCTGGAGGGACTGGGTGCAGCTGAATTCAATGAGAATCCAGGAATGCTCAGACAAACCCGGGTCCTGCAGAACCAGAGAGAAGAGGCAAAGGGGAAGTTCATTGTGCCGTGGGGAAATGAATCTCATCTCTCTGTCCCCCTTGCTTGCTGCACCATATCCAAATCTCTCCCTTGAGCCCAGCAATCTGGGTTCACTGCCAGGGACTGGAGATCCCACATGGAACAACCAAATGTGAGAGGACTGGAAAAATGTTTTGGTGAATGATGTATCCTCAAAGGTGCATGTTGGGTGGTCCTCCAAGGTCATGTGGTGGAGACTGAGGAAGTCAGGTTTCATAGACCCTCAGGGGTCACCTTGTGACGAAGAGAGAGAATCAGCAGGGTGGACATGGGGTATAGGCAAGATGCAAATCCTGCTTTTACTTACAGGTCCTCACATGGCCAGCACCCTGGGAATACTCTGGGATAAATACACCTGGGCCTTAGAAAATGGAGGTAGGAGATGGTGTCTTCTAATAGGAGCATCCCTCTGTAGATTCAGTCATGCCTTAATGTCAGGCATCGTGGAGGATGGGGATGGTGCTGAACAAAATTTTGAGAGCAGGTGGGCATGGTGGCTAGCTTGGTTGTCATCCCTTCTTCCTTTGCTTTCATAGACCCCAGGACAGACTCGTGGTTCCTGGTACATTCACCACTCCCTGTCACCATCCTCATTATCTTCTACCTTCTCCTGGTGGTGGCAGGCCCTCGCTTCATGTCCCGACGGGAGCCTCTGAGGCTGGGAGGACCTCTCACCGCCTACAACCTAGGGCTGGTGGTTCTCTCACTGTACATATTTTATGAGGTAAGTCTGATGAGAGAAACCTGGAAGTTGTAGGGTGTCTTCCTTTTTGATGTACCCGGTGTGGTGCTCTAGGATAAGAACTTGACTTCTAACCACAATGTAGACAGTTCAAACCCAGCAGCTACTCTTCAGAAACCTTATTACAGGTCCACTAGAAGACTGAACTGACTTGATGGTACTTAACAACAACAAATGAATAACTAACTCCATGATTTTCTTACATAGAAAGCTGAAAAAGTTGATGGGGCATATACAGGAGTTGAGTCTGTTGCATCTTTGACTACTTCTGACTTCCCCTGTTAGACATAACTCTTCATTCAAATAGTAATATAATAATAATCAAACAAGTAGCTTATTTGATTATTCAAACAATAATGATTCTCACTCACGGCGACCCTAAGTGTGTCATAGTAGAATTGTACTCTATAGTTCAATGCTAATTTTTCTGTAGTAAATTGCCGGGTCTTTTTCTTGAGAAACCTCTGCGTGAGATTGAACTGCCAACTTTTTGGTTAATAGTTATGCACTTTACCTGTTTGTATCATTCAGATACTCCCAATTTTCCATCAGCAGGTGTCTTTTTCCAGTTCCTTACATAAAAAAGTAGAGGTCATGGACAAATGAGAATGGAATTCATTATCTCTCTCACCTTAAAGAAACACCACACCTCCCATTTCAGGTTTTGGTAAGATCACATCCCCTCTGGCCAATTTTTCAATTCCCAAACCTGCTGGTCTGTCCAGACTCCTTGCTGTCAGCATATCATCATTCAGCAAGTATACACTGAGCACATACCAATGTACTTAGTGCCAGGCTGTGTTAGGCTCTGCAGGACCACTGCTGGAAAAGTCACACCTACCCTCCAGGAGAGAGAGATTTGGAAATGGGTGATTACAATGCATTATTCCCAAGGCAACTGACAGCATGCTCCAGCAACATGCAGGAGGGACAGTAACCCAGCTTCCGAACCATCTTTTCAGATAAGTGATAATAGTAATCACTGACCTTTTCATGTACTTTTTATGGCTTGTCCTTGGGTGGCACAAATAATTAAGTACTCAACTAGTAGCTGTAAGTATACAGCTTGAACCCACCCACAAGGGCTTTGGAAGAAAGGCCTGGCAATCTGCTTCTGAAAGGTTATGGTTTTGAAAACCCTAGTGTAGTGGTTATGAGTTGGGTTGCCAACCTCAAGGTCACCAGTTCGAAACTACCAGCAATTCCATGGGAGAAAGATGAGTCTTTCTGCTCCCGTGAAGATTTACAGCCTCAGAAACCCTGTGCAGGATCACTATGGGTCGGAACCGACTCCACGGTACTTAAGGAGCTCTGGTAGCGTAGTGGTTACGAATCGGGTTGCTAATCTCATGGTCAGCAGTTTGAAACTACCAGCTGTTCCACAGGAGAGAGATGAGGCTCTCTGCTCCCGTAAAGATTTATAGCCTCGGAAACCCTATGCAGGGTTGCTATGAGTCAGAACCAACTCCACGGCACATAACAACAATAACAATAAAGCATACAAGATCAAAAGAGGAGGATTTGCCCATACATAAAGCTCAGAAGGCAGTATTGGATAGGTGAGAAGGATGAATGGAAAATGTAAGCACAGGGAGGAAGTGGGAAGAGGGCTGTTATGTTGTGGAGATGGTGATCAATGTCATGGAAAAAATGTGTATGTGTCATTGAATGGAAAACCAATCTGCTGTATAAACTCATTCAAGTTATAGTACTAAGTTTAACAAGAAAACTATGGAGCACAATTCTACTCTATACTCATGGGGCTGTGTACACTGGAATGGTGACTGTTTCATTGATTGTCATTAGGCATTACACTGCTCTGAGCACTCTATGAAAATAGGGCCTCTGGTCCTCATGACCACAATGTGATGAGGTGTTTGAAGCACAGAAAAGTCAAGTAACTTCACAGGTGATAAGGAGTAGATGCTGAACTTGAATCCAGTTCGCTTAGCCACAGAGCCTTCCTGTCTCACTGTGGGATGTCAGGGCAGGAGAAAAGTGGTACAGTCTGAAGTGGGTCCTGACAGCTCTAAATCCACAGCCATCATCTCTCACTTTATTTTAACACTTTTTTTTTCTCTCACTGACTGGAGTCCTTGGATGGTCAACTGCTAACAGAAAAGTTAGTGGTTCAAGTTTACCTACAGGTGCCTCAGAAGAAAATCCTGGAAGTCTTCTTACAAACAATCAGCCACTGAAAGCCCTACAGAGCATAGCTCTCCTCTGGTACATGTGGGATCGCCATGAGTCAGAATTGACTCCATGGCAATTGGTTGGTTCTCTACCAACTAGTCTCCTGCCTTTCTTTATGGTTCAGCTTTAGCGCAACATCCTCACTGCTGACCGAATGATCCAGAATATAAGAAGGGTACCACTGTCCATGCAGGTACTCTGATGGTTTCCCACCCAGCTGAGGCCTCTTTTGATGAGCACACACTGGCCTCTACTTTCCTTGCCAACCTCATCTCCCAAGCTGCCCCTCAGCAGCCCTGCCTGCCTCCCTCATCAAGCACTGGCTTGCTAACTAGACTCTGTATAGCCCTGCTCAGGCACATCCCAGGCCTTGGCACAAAACTGTTATTTTGTTAGAAATGCCCTTCTCTCTTGTCCCTGGACAAATTCCTGCTTATCCTTTTGACTTGGGTCAGCTGTCACCTTACATGAACCCTTTCTTGATCTCCTGAAGGCAAGGTTATACATCTGTTTCCTCAGACTTTTACCACCTTGGGGCAGACTTCTATCTTAGTGGGGACACATGTATGGAGGCAGCATCTGACTACACAAGGGGAGATGGAGAATCAAACACCACATCAGCCCAAGACCAGTTCCTATGAAGCTGAGGTCAGACATGCCTCTACCCTTCAACCATCTTTATCAGTCCGACACCAATCATCCATCCCACATATTTTACTTCTCAGCTGGGTATGATCATTCACTGCATTAGCTATGATCATTCACTGGGTATGATCATTCACACACTCACAGTGGTGAGTTTATTAGGGAAGTTAACAGTTACAATTCAAGATCAGAAATACTCAGGAAAGTTCTTTGCTCATTCCAGCCATTCTCACAGTTTCACCTTTCTTTCTGTATCTCGACTCTGCCACGCTTGGACAGTGTTATAATGCTCTTGTAGGACTGCCGATAAATGTCTAAAGGGCCATCCATTCTGCTGTGATTCTCAGCCCACAGGTGCTCAGCCCTGGCCCTGTGAGTCAGCAAGCCTATCTCCCCAGTTAAGTGTCTGGAGGTACCCCACTCTGCAGATGGCCAGATACCTGAAAGCACTTAGCTTTATTCTCCCTGTGGGTTGGAAAGCCCCCATCTCTGTCTCATGTTCTGGCTTTTGCTTTTGCAGCTGCTGCTTCTCTGGTATCACAACACTGTCTTCTGGATTAAGGACATTTAATACTCAGAGATCTCAGGGTCTAAAGGACACACTCCATTCCTGACTCTTTTTTCATGTGGGTGTGACATTGGAGCTGGAGCCAGCTTCAAAGCTGGTAGCATTCACGGTGCATGTCTCTTCTCAACTCCGTGTTCAGTGACTTCATGTTGTTGTTGCTGTTAAGTGCTATTGAGTTGGTTCTGGCTCATAGTGACCCTGTATAGGGTTTCCAAAGAGCAACTGGTAGGTTTGAACTGCCAACTTTGAGCCATACCATGACTCAATACGAGTAGGTTGAAATCAATCGTGTTGGTAATATTTACAAACATGACAAATCAGCCCAGTGTACCTCATCCCATTTAGCATTTGCCAGCACACCACTGCCTCTGGTCCTTCTCCTCATGTTGCATGGTTTGCATATTTGTTTGTGTCCCCTCCAAACAGAGGACCTGTACCTTACTTAGCATTTTATTTTAAAACACTTAATTTTAGCTTGGATGAAAGTTTACAGTGTACCTATGTTTCCCATACAGTAAATTATTTATGCTTTGTTTCATGATATAGCTGCAATCTGTTCAATGTAATGCACTCTTCCTTCCTGATTTCTCTTACCTTTTTAAAAATAGGAACAGCATCATGTTAGCCATATAGCTAACTTGTAAGACATGAGACATGCCCTGGAGCATGCCATTTGACCTTACAGACAAGTTACTGTGCTCCACCCTAATCTTTTGAAAACTTACCTTGCCCGTGACAGCTTCCTGCTCAGAAACTCTCAGCAGCTCCCTTTGTCTCATGACCAGAATGTAAAGTCCCACAAGACAGGCATTTCTAGCTGTTTTGTTTTATGGATGTGATTCAGTGCTCAGAACAGTGCGTAGAAGTACTTAGTATATTCGACCCATCATCGATGAATGAATGAGTTACAAAATCTAAGCTTCTTCAGACAGGCTTTATTGTTGTTATGTTCATCAGCCATTGAGTTGATTCTGATGCATGATGACCACCCTTTCTCTCTGTGTCTTCTGTGCCGGCTTCTCCCATAGGTGGAGGCTCCATATAGTCTTACAGATCTCCGCCCACTCCAGTGAGTTAGGAGGGTTGCCCACACTGGGCATTCTTCTCATGGCATGGACTTGTCTCTCCTGTTCTACTGTTAGCCCAAGACTTCCTCATTCTTCAGTCCCCTACCAACTTCTGGAACATCTCTTTTCTACTGTTCATCTGGCACCAGCCATAAAGCTTATGATTCTTTCCGATATCTTCAGTGAGATTTGAACTCCTTCAAGCGAATGTGTGCCCCTCTCAAAGGGTTTTCAGCAACTTAGGGTCACACACATAGTAGGTACCCAGGTGGGCTATGGTAAATAAACTAGAGACCAGCATGATGTATGCAAGGGGCAGTGATGGATCAATGGTAGGGCTCTCTCCTTCTACACAGGAGATCCAGGTTCAGTTTCCGGCCACTGTACCTTACGCACATCTACCACCTGTCTGTCAGCGGAGGCTTGCCTGCTGCTAGGATGCTAAACAGGCCTTGATGGTGAGTCTACGCTAAGATGAACTAGGACAAAGGCCTGGTGAATCACACAGAGAAAACCCATTGGTCTGTCTGATCTGCAACTGGTCATGGGACAAGGTAGCATTTTGCTCCATTTTGCATGAGGTCCCCAAGAGTTAAAGAGTTTAAGTAAGCCCAAGTAAGCCCATACACACCTTGCTCACTGGATACTCTGTCTCTTTCAGGGGTTGTAAATTTCAAGAGGTTTTGATTTTGTCTATAGGTGCTGTGGAGTTGGAGAGAGACTGATGTTATTCATATTTAGAAGCAGAATCTATGATGTGTTGAAAAAAAATGTGAAACTGTTCATTGTAGATTAGTAACTAAGCACAAGTAAACCTGTGCTTATTTTACATATTGGGTAATCTGTCCCTGATCATGGTGTTCAGAACATGACTGGATTAGGGCCTTGCTGCCCCAAAGTTAAAGGCACCCTGGTAGCATAGTGGTTAAGTGCTTGGTTGTGAACCCAAAGTGGGTGGTTAGAACCTACCAGCTGCTCTGAAGAAGAAAGATGTGGCAGTCTGCTTCCAGAAAGATTTATAATCGAGGGAATCCTGTAAAGAAGTTTTACTCCGTCCTGGTGTATTGTTGTTGAATAATCGTTGGACTGGTAACTGCAAGGTTGGTGATTCAAGCCCACTAGTCACTCATTGGAAACCCTATGTGGTGTTGCTATGAGTCTGAACCAACTTGACAGCACTTGTCGACAACTGGTGTGTTTGTTTTTTTTGTTTTGTTGTTTACCTTGTACAAGAGGAGGAGGGGTCTAACCATGATGAAAACACACTTATAATTAGTTTTATTTCCTTATTTTTCCTGTCCTCCCAGTTCCTGACCACCTCACTTCAGTCTAACTACAGCTACTTCTGCCAACCTGTGGACTACAGCCGGAGTGAGCTCGCGATGAGGGTATGGCAAGCAGTGGGGGGGTTACACATAGAGAGAAGGTTGATAGAAGCACTCCCTCACACCTGGAGCTTGAGGCTCCTGATGGACACAGTGAGCACATTATTTGTGCTGAGAGTGTAGTCACATAACCTCAGATTGAATCCCAACTCTGACAGCTACTTGCTGTGTGATTCTGGACTGGTTGCTTAACTTTTCAGGGCCTCGGTTTTCTTACCTATAACATGAGGAGAAGAACAGCTATTTTTTAAAAAAGGAAATGGCTGAAAAAGGATTGATGTGATAATATAAGAAAGTGTTCACGGTGGGCTTGAGTGGGAGCTACTGCATTCGTGTTGGCTGTACTCGGTTTCAACTAGACAGCGTGGAGGGTTTCTTTGCAGCAGAGAGCTACAGCTGAAGTTCCACAAGGCACCAGGTATCGTGTTGCCAGGATGTTGAGTGATGGAGGGACGGGCTGAGGGCTCACCACTCCAAGTACGGTCTAAGGACCACCAGCAGCAACAGCATCACTTGGGAGGTTGCTTGAACTGTAATATCTTATGCCTCATCCCAGATTCTCTGAATTAGAACCTGCTTTTCTACAAACAGTCTCCAGGTGAATGATGTATGCATGAGATTGCATGCTCTGGACCGTGGCCGGGGCACTTTGTAGAGTCTTTCTGTGGTCACGGGAAGAGCCATGGTGGCACAACGCTTAAGTACTTCGCTGCTGACTGAAATATTGGCGCCTTGAACCCATAATCCACTCTGTCTGCTTCCATAAAGCTTTCAGCCTTGTGAACCCTATGGAGCAGTTCTATTTTGCCCTGTAGGATTATTATGAGTTACAGTCTACTCAGTGGCAGTGCGTTTGGTTTGCTTTTTGTTTTGATAACACTCAGTAGCTTCTCCTCTTTACTGTGCTAACAGGCATCTGACTGTTGACAGGTGACTAATGTGGGAGCAGGAGCTCAGGGTTATAGAAGAATAGTGCAGACATGAGGCTCTGCCATAATGAACTGAGTTTAGGCAGGACAGCAGTCTGAGTGAACTTCCCTTTCCTAACCAGCAGATGGCGAGAGTGTGCTGGTGGTGCTTCTTCTCAAAGGCGGTTGAATTACTTGACACGGTAAGTGCCCTGAGACGCTTGTCCAGAGTTAGAAAGATCTGTCAGTGGGATCTGACTGAAGTGGTTGGTATCAGCAGCACCCTGTGAGAACATCTCTCCAGAATCGAACTCAGTCCCTGTCGGAGGTTCTCAAGGTTTGCCCTGGCCTTTGTACAGTTGTTAAAAGTGTCGTCGTCCCAACTCATAGCGACCCTGTATAGCGTTTCCAGGAGCGCCTGGTGAGTTTGAACCACCGATGACCATGCGATCCCACACCAGCTGACTGGCAGAATAGGATGCTAACGCATTGACCTGAAATAGCTTCTCACCACCACAGGCTCCTATAAGCCTCACTCTTCATCCTTTCTTGTACCTGCATAACACTAGGTATTTATCCCATTAGTAACCAGGTTCTAGGTTGAGCTAAAATAGAGAGCTAACAGAAGAACAAACCTGATACTATGTGGCCTAGGTCATCAGACAGCAAAAGCTATTCAAGTATTGAGGGGGGCAGTTATGATCCATGGGACTTGGATTCAGTGCACGTGGGGCAAGGTTATACTTTTGGAATAATAGTGAAAGCGAGGAAACTTTCACTAACCCCTCTACCAGAATGGTGTCTGAACAAAGAGAATTAGTAAGTTATTTTGTAGTTGTGTGGGTCTTAAGCAGGGTGTTTAATAACTGAATTCTCTTCCCAGAGCTCTGAGAGGTAGGCTGTTTTTAGGTGCCATCGAGTCAGTTCTGACTCAGAGTGACCCTGTGCACAACAGAACAAAACACTGTCTGGTCCTGCCTCACAATTATTGAGAGTTAGGATAGGATCGGAAAGAGCTCAGCTCTGAAAACAGACTGTGTTTAAATCCCAGTTTGGCTACTTATTAGTTGTGTGACCTTTGTCAAGTTACCTAACCTTCTGTGCCTCTATTTCCCCATCTGTAAAATGAGAGTAATAATAGTTGTTGTTAAGTGATGTAGAGTCGGTCCAGACTCATGGCAACCCCACATAGGGTTTCTGAGGAGCTACTGGTGACTTTAAACTGCCGACCTTGCAATTTAAACTGACCTTGAGGTTGAGTGCTTACCTCATACTATTATGATCCCAGGAGTCCTGGTGTGGGACTGTAGGATAAGCACTGGACTGCAAGGTCAGTTTGAACTACAAGGTCGGCAGTTCGAAATCACCAGCTGCTCCTTGTAAACCCTATACAGGGTCACTGTGAGTCAGAACTGACTCAATGACACTTGACAACAATAACATTATGATTTCCTGCATAGAAAGTACCTGTATGGAGTAGGTGCTACACAGGTATCTATTACTAGTGCCTTTTAGTTCCAGACGCTGACTCAGTAAAAGAGGCAGAATCACCCTGCCCTCATCTAAGTGGTAGATGATACCCCAGGAGAAGAACCCCCAGAATTGACCCCATCTTTCCTGCCTCTCCAGATCTTCTTTATCTTGCGGAAGAAGCCACAACAGATCACCTTCCTGCATGTCTACCACCACGGCACCATGCTTTTCAACTGGTGGGCTGGAGTCAAATATGTCCCAGGTGGACAGGGTAGGTGACTTAGCCCATGGGTAACCCTGTCCCCAGGCCCTTGTGTGGCTATTGTCTGCTGGGGCTAAGTCCCCAGCTTGGGGTATGTGCATGCTCTGTGAAATCATGGCTTGTCCCTAAGGTTCCCCTTTCCTGTGGCCGTGACTCCAGGCTTCTTCACATACTATCTTTGTTGCTGTGCCTAGCTTCCCAGCTACCTTTCCCTGGTCTAGCAGATGCTCATAACCATCAGTCCAGAAAGCATAGAGGGAGTTATAAAGAGTCTCATTCAACATTCTGTTAATCCCAACCCATCATCATGAGCTCACATGGCTTATGCCAGACCACCTTCATGATAGGGCCTTCTCAAGGTATGTCTCTGTAGGATTTATCAAAGTGCTCTCTGGAGATTAGAGGATTGAATCATGAAACAGACACCATAAAAATCAACTAGGATCAATTCCACTTATTATATCTTCCCACTCTGCAGCTTTCTTTATTGGGATGCTTAATTCTTTGGTCCACATCTTCATGTACCTGTACTATGGACTGGCCAGTCTGGGGCCCCAGATGCAACCCTACCTGTGGTGGAAGCGGTATCTTACCATTCTACAGCTGGTGAGAATCCATCCCCGTTAGTTCCAGGGGCATAGGAGGAATGAACCCTAAGTTCTATTCTTGGGCATACCAATGACTTGGTATCTGACCATGAACAGGCTTTGCTCAACCCTGGGTCTTCCTTAGTTTCCTTACTTGCAATTGTTTTATAGCCAACTGTTACTCACTGACGTAATGTGAGATCCTGAGCAAGTCACATCCATACTCAGGTCCCAATCTCATTATCTGTGAAGTGAGGGTGATGGGCTAATGGTCTTAAGCACTAATATTCTGTGAGGCTGTGGTCACTGGTAACACTAGCCAGAGGACTGGGGCTTTGTAGTGTGGGAGCACTATTTCCAGATGGTGCTGATACCCTGAGGAATCTCCCATGGAACTCAGGATGCATAGAGTTCATGATCCGTGTCTACATAACATGGTTGGAGTTGGTCAAGAAAGACCCAACCCTTGGGCGGGGTCAGGAAGATTCTTAGGTGGGTGTGGCTGCAGAAGAAATGGGACCTATGTTTCAGTAGGCTTCCTTGTTTCTTCACTTCCTGAGCTGTGTGAAGCCCCCTCTCTGCTGCTCAGTGGTGCTCCTCCCTCTTAATCCTTACTACTGCTTCTGACTGATTATCTCTTTCCTCCTGTGTTTCTTCCATCCAGTGTCAGTTTGTGGCCATCACTGCCCACTCCGCGTACAATCTCATTGCCAATTGCCCTTTCCCTGATGGATTCAACGTGGCTGTCCTCCTGTACACTCTCAGCCTCATCAGCCTTTTCCTCAACTTCTACCACCATGCATATCTGAGAGGCAAGCGCGAGAAGCTGATTTAAATGGCCGGACTCAAGGATTGAAGTCAGTGAATTGTTCCCACACAGTCGATGGGAGATAGCATGGCTCCCAGTCCACCAGTGCTGAGCAGACACTTCTGGGTCCATATTTCATCCTGTGAAGGAAGGAGAGTTGCCTCCTTTCTAGACTTCAAAGGGAAAAACATGGTCTCAACTTCTTGAACTCACTTTTGTTAGCACACTTGTGGATTTGTAACTCTCACATGAATTTATAAGTTTGCTTGTACATCCGCTTCCACTACTAGATGTGACTCCCTCAGGGATTGCATTTTTTGATGCTCCCCACCTTGCTCTGTGTCTGGTACAGAACAGACCCTCAATAAACATGTGCTGTTGAAGGTTGTGTATCCTTGTCTGCTTTGATGGGTAAGTATGGTCTCTGGTAAAGAACAAGGCTGAATGTGTGGAAGAAGTCAAGGCTGGTTTGATATCTAATCTTGCCAGGCTTCTGACTTCCATTGTGTTAGCTTAGTTATCCTCTGCATAGCTTTGTGTCTCTTCCTTTGCAGCCTACATGTGTGTTTATAGAGCTGATAATTTTGTGTGTGTGAATGGTGTTGGGAAGGGGGCCACGTGTTCATGTTTAGAACCTGTTTATCAAATACATTTGCCTGTGTGTTTCCATTGATATTTCTCTGTCTGTGTGGTTTGCTATGTCTTCTGTGAATCTCTGAAAGTTGCACACTCAAAAACAAAAGCCACCAGGACCAGTAACTCTTGTTTCAAATGGAAGACGTGAGTGTCCATGCGAAATCTCTAAGTACACGCTCCATTGAGAGGCTCCAAAATGGGTTGGGGAAAAAAGAGAAACAGAGAAAAACTCATAACAGCCATCCACATAGCCCAGAGGGAAACTTAGGACCAGCAAAGGGGAGTATGTGACTGAGATCACATAGTTTGGAAGAAGCAAGCATCTGCTGAGATATTTAAAACCTCAATGGGACAATTTCCTGGAAACAATTTGCCTGGCTCAGTGTGTAAGCTATCAGTATGCATATTCTTTTAAATCTTTTCTCTTAGGTTATTTCTCCTTCAGTAAGTTTTTATCTTGAGATGTCTCATAGGTCAAGAAAATTGAAGAAAGAGTTGAAGGCTATGAAATGATATTTGGGGACTATATCAGGTACTCTAGTTCATTTAAGACCCAGAAAAAGTTTTCCTTAAATTGTGCAGGATATAAACACATCCCACACATTTTTTAATACACAGGTTGAATGCCTTAGGAGATGGATGCCTATTTTAAGACAAGCATTTTGTTTATTTTTTAATGCATAGGAGTAAGGTCTGTTCATTTGTTTAGCAGTCAGGATAAGGGAAAAATTAGTCATACTCAAAGATAATATTTGTGTAGTCCTTTGGGACTGCTCTTTGCTCAGTTAAACAATACCAAAAAAAAAAGGTAGTGATGTGTTTTTGGTCACGTCTGAATGAAATATGATTTTAGCTAGAGAGAGCCTGGCATGAGGTAGTATGGGAGAGAGGGGATGGGAAATTTTTCTATCATATATGATAACTCTACTTCTGGTTCAGGGATGCTGTGTAAATAATGTTTATCAGTGTGGAGTGATTATGTGAACATTCTAAAATATTTTTGTATTTGTCAAAACGTAGCCAAACTCTTCATTTGTGTTGCAGAAGTTCATATCTATGGACTGGCTAAGGTGATGATCAAGAAGGATTATTGGACAGATTCTTAAACAGAAAGGAAATCTGAGTTACTGCCCAGAGAGTGCCCAGTTCTAAGACAAGGAGGCTCAGAGGATGGGATGGCAGAGTACCACAGATGGAGGTGAGGGATTAGCCTACTCTTAAGTTCCTCTACTGGAGTTCATCTAATCAAGGGCCTGACAGTTTAAGAAGACCACACAAAATGGAGAAGTTCCCTGCACTTCTACAACCTCAGAATTCTGTGAGGGTTCTACCTATCCCCTACACACACACACACATCTTGTCCAGTCAGCTGACCATAGATCCCAAATAGCTGCTCCAGGAATCACAAAGTGTCTTTGCTGCTTTCTTCACTCTCCCTAGTTTTCTTCCTTACAGGTCTTTATCATTAGCAGAGTAAACTGAGAAAGCAAACTCACCGCCATCAAATGGATTCCAACTGCATAGGGTTGCTGAGCCTGCAAACCCATGGGAGCAGAAGGCATCATCTTTGTATGGTAGACGGTCTAGTGGGTTTGAATGATAACTTTGTGGTTAGCAGTACAGTCCTTATTCTAAACATTTTGTCTTTGATTTCTAGGTGATTTTAGGACAAAAGATGACTATTACAAGGAACTGTTGTTGTTGTTGTTGTTAGGTGCCGTGGAGTCAGTTCCAACTCATAGCAACCCTGTACAGGGTTTCCGAGGGTGTAAATCTTTATGGGAGTAGAAAGCCTCATCTTTCTCCCGTGGAACAGCTGGTAGTTTCGAACTGCTGACCTTGCGGTTTGCAGCCCAATTCGTAACCACTACGCTTAGGTGCCATTATGTTGGCTCCGACTCATAGTGGCCCCATGTACAACAGAATGAAACACTTCCTGACATTGTTCAGCTCCTTGTTGAAGCCACTGTGTCAATCCATCTCACTGAGGTTCTTCCTCTTTTTTGTTGACTCTCTATCAAGCATGATATCCTTCTCCAGAGAATGGTCCCTCCTCACAATATGTCAGAAGTACATGATAGGAAGTCTTGCCTTCCTGACTTCTAAGGAGCATTCTGGCTGTACTAATAGGTGCCGTTGAGTCAGCTCCAACTCATAGCGATCCTGTGCACAACAGTATGAAGCCCCACCCAGTCCTGTTCTGTCCTCACAATTGTTATGCTTGAGCCCATCGCTGCTGCCACAGTGTCAATTCCTCTTTTTCAAAGACCCTCCACTTTACCTAGCATATTGTCCTTCTCCAGGGACTGGTCCCTCCTGATAATATGTCTGAAGTATGGGAGATGAAGCCTTGTCATCCTTGCCTCCAAGGAGCATTGTAGCTACAGAACTGTTTATTCTTCTAGCAGTCCATGGTACTTTGAATATTTTCCTCCAATACCATCACCCAAATGCATCAATTCTTCTACAATTTTCCTTATGCATTGTCCAACTTTCACATGCATATGAGGCTATTAAAAATATAATGACTTGAGACAGACACACCTTAGTCCTCAAATTAACATCTTTGCTCTTCAACACTTTAAAGAAGTATTATGTAGCAGATTTGCCTAATGCAATACGTTGTTTGATTTTTTACTTCTGCATCAATGAGTGTTGATAGTGGATTCAAGCAAAATGAAGTCTTTGACAACTTCAATCTTTTCTCCATTTATCATGATTTTATTTACTGGTCCAGTTGTGAACATTTTTGTTTTCCTTCAATGAGGTGCAGCCCATACAGATGGTTGTGGCCTTTGATCTTCTGCAGTAAGTATTTGAAATGTTCTTCACTTTCAGAAAGCAATATTGTACCATCTACATATAATGGGTTGTTACTGAGTCTTCCTCCAATCCTGATGCCTTGTTATTCTTCAAATAATCTAGATTCTCAGATTATTTGCTCAGCATACAAACTGAATAAATATAGTGAAATAATACAACCCTGGTACACACCTTTTCTGATTTTAAACCATTCAGTGTCCCTTGTTTTATTCAAACAACTGCCTCTTGGTCTATGTGCAGATTCCTCATGAGTACAATTAAGTGTTCTGGAATGCCCATGCTTCACAATATTATCCATAGCTTGTCATGATCCACATAGTCAAAATCCTTTGCATAGTCAATAAAGCACATATAAAACACCTTTCTAGTAGTCTCTGCTTTCAACCAAGACGTCAGCAATAACATTTCTTTTTGCAAATCTCAGTCAACATACTGTTGCAGCCATTTTTGAATTGTCTTTAGCAAAATTTTACCTGCATGTGGTATTAATGACACTGTCTGATGATTTCTGTATTCTGATAGATCACTTCTTTTTGGAATGGGCACAAATCAGTTCGCCATGTAGCTATTTTTCAAATTTCTTGGCATAGATGAGTGAGTGCCTCCAGTATTGCATCAGTTTGTTGAAAGATCTCAATTTTTTCCCATAAATTCCAGGATGCTTGTTCTTTGCCAATGCTTTCAGTGCCCTTGGATGTCTTCCTTCAGCACCGTTGGATCTTGATCATATGCTAACTCTTGAAAAAGAGGCTAAGGAATCATTTAAAATCAGGAAATGTGCATGTCAGCATTATATTCTTTTCACGAAACGTATTCAATTTGTATGCTGAGCAAATGATCCAAGAAACTGGACGACATGAAGAACATGGCATCAGGATTGAAGGAAGACTCATTAACAACCTATGATATGCAGATGACACAACCTTTTTTTCTGGAAGCAAAAAGAACTTGAACTATTTGCTGAAGAAGGTCAAAGGCCACAGCCTTCAGTATGATTGCTCCTCAATGTAAAGGAAACAAAAATCCTGCCACTGGATCAATAAATAACAACATGATAAATGGAAAAAAGACAGAAGTTGTCAAAGACTCCAATTTGCTGGGATCAACAATCAATGCTCATAGAAGCAACAGTCAAGAAATCAAAGTATGCATTGCATTAGGCAAATCTGCTGCACAAGGCCTCTTTAAAGTATTAAAGAACAAAAATGTCAGTTTGAGAACTCAAGTGTGCCTGACCCAAGTCATGGTATTTTCCATGCATGTGAAAGTTGGACAGTGAATAAGGAAGACTGTAGAAGAATTGTTGCATTTGAGTTATAGTGCTGGTGAACAATACTGAAAATGACAAACACTGTGAGAACAATCAAGGATGCTGAAACTCTGTCTCTCATACTTTGGGCATGCTGTTAGGAGGGACTTGTCCCTGAAGAAGGACATCATGCTTGGATAATGGAGGGTGAATGCAAAAGAGAAAGACCCTCTCCCTCCAATGAGATGTATTGACAAGTTGGCAACATCAATGGGCTCAATTATAACAATAATTCTGAGCATGGTGCAAACCCAGGCAG